AAAGTAAAAGACTGAGCTGAGGCTTACAATGTAAATTCTGTGCTCTACACGTAGAGAAAGTCTTAAGTTTGAGCAAAACAGATTTTAGACAAAAAAGTTGGATCTAATTATTCTAATAAAAGTAAAAGTGATTGTTATGGTGATATTTGTTATTATTAATTCTGGAAATACAGATAGTTGCTGAATCTAAAATTAACTAGAACTGTGCAATTCGTTTTATTTCAATTCCAAAGCCCAAAGGCACAGCAATGAGTTAGATCAGTTGTAGGCTCTCTGGCTGCTTCTAGTTCTAGCATAGGCCTGCTACTACTGATTCTAGACAGGGAATCTAGATCTAGATCTAGCTATCACCTGCACTATTAAAGTCAAATATATGGTAAAATAAAAATAAACTGTGAATCGCTTTGTCAGTCAGTACATCCCAATTGACGTAGCTGCACGTATTAATAGTTGAATAATTATACCGAAGCAACACGTTATCACAGTGTGCAGGGGAGAGCGGGGTGCCTGGGTCGCTGACCGGTCGATTCGGTGGTTCGGCTTTTGTAGATCTATGCATTTTTTTTACGAAAGCCCTATTACTAGATCTATTAGTGTTGTGAAAACTTCAACCTCTACAGCTGAGGCGTCAAAAGATGTTGGAAAATATTAATACGTCCTGAAGTTTCATAATTTATACAGAATAACACAGCCAGTAGTTTTTATTTCATCGAGTTATAAAAATGGCCTTGTAACTTGTTTTCAGAAGCAAATTTTAATAGTTCCAGTTCTACCGAATCGTTTTTCACGTAAATCCAACCATTTTGATGACCTTTCTTTTCCTTTTAAAAAGATGTAGGCCTGTCGGATGTGGCAGTGCGATTAACACTAAGTTGTTTAGACCCATCAAAACACGAGGCTTCGTGGCCGATCACAAAGGTCTACAGGGCTTATCGAGGCCGATTCGCCCTGCCGCGTGCACGTTCACTAAACTGCCTACTAGATGAATCTACTACCAAAGATTCTCTGCACGATCTTTGCTACTACTACTACTACTGCTACTACTACTACTACTACTACTACTACTACTTCTACTACTACTACTACTACTACTACTACTACTACTACTACTACTACTACTACTAGACAGTACGAGAGATGTACTATTACGAGACAGTACGAGAGAGTGCCACCCAGGCAAATATAGTGTAACTTTGACTCAGCTACGTTGTGTACACACTTTTTATACCCCAAATTTGACCCGGAAGTCCATTCGGAGGATTTGACCTTTTCACGTGACCAAAGTGTGCCAAAATGGTAGCCTAGATTTTGCCCCTCCATGAAGGAAAAATCTGGCCCTCATTCAAACCATTGGGATTGTGCAAAATTTTGCGTATCGTGCTTTGTTCTTACAATATACATTATGATATATATAAGTTGTACATTGAGACAAAACTGTGCTAAATGAGAAAGGTGCACCATTATGAAAGTGGAACGAACTCAGTTGCCTGAAAAGGGTGTCCCCCGGTAGTTTGAGCATGTTTGGCCTAAATAAGCTAAACCCCCCTCCCTCACCTTATTTAGGCCACCTGTGGCCTAAATAAGCTAAACTCCCCTCCCTTACCTTGTGTAGGCCATATGTGGCCTAAATAAGCACTCCCATGTTTGAAAACTGCTCTGCCTGTCTTTCCCAGGGCCCATCTGTTCATCCAATCTTGCTTGTTGTTGCTTTTGATGATTTGTTTTGCAGTGGTGTAAGAAGTTGGAATGTTGGGTTGTTCCTGTCTAGATCCCCGTTTGGCAATTGCGTCTGCTCTGTCATTTCCAGGCATGTCTGAGTGTCGGGGACCATAGAGTTACCCCCTTTTAAACTAGAGTCCGTACGAGGTTATGTGACACGGACACATTTGAGTTTGTTGGCGGCCATTTTTAATGTGGCTAAAAAGTTAGTTTACATGTGAGTGGGCGTGTCTCAGCTCTTAGTCTTACGTGTTTTATTTGATTCTAACGTTATATTTTGATTCAAAGCGATTCTCTTAAAGGTGCAAGCATGTGAAACCTCTTGTCCCTTTCTGGATTAACGTCTTACTGGGTCTGTCAGGCAGTTCAGTGACGTCTGTTTTCTTTTATTACACCATCTATTTTTAGTGCATAATATGTCTTATAGACACAAATAGTCACTCCGGGTTTCTTTTTTAAAACATAAATAGCCATCAGTAAGGTCCTGGGCCATGTGAAGTTAAGGTTGACTAGCAGCTAGATCTTTTTCACAATGGGCAGGAAATTTCTTTATCAAACTGAAACGGTGTACTTTTTATTGTTTTGTTTTATTGAATGTTGTCCAAAAACACCTTAGTAAAGGTTTTTGTTTCAGTTATCACTACACTGAGTAGAAAAACAATTGACTAGGCTACAAAACAACATCTAAGTTCACTTTTTATCTTTAGTGAGTCCAGAGTTGCCACAGTTGTTTTACTAATGTCCAAAGTTAGACTTACTTAAAGCAGCAATAGAAGGAGCTTTAGTTTAAGTGCTGTATATGGTCTACTTTAGTTCTTAAAATCAATATAAACCAAAGTTTGATACCAACATATGAAAACACTACTTATAATTTAGTATACTTTTTTAAAACGTGAACTTATGAATGAAAAATAAAGTTTCCTGTTCAAATGTCACAAGGGAAAGTTTAACTCGATTTTAAAAATACCAGTACATGCATGTATTCATCATTTGTTTGACTGAATTTGCTTTATCAAGAGCTTCATTGCATTCCTACACCTAAAGGCTGAAAAACTCTGGAATTTTTTCTCCTATGGCTCATCCTGATTTAATTTAATGCCAAACTCATATATCTGATTGGGGGGGGGGGGGGTTGGTATTGAGATTCGGGAGGAGAGAGAGGGTGGGGTGGTTATGGGAGGTTCCCATGACACACATATCTTTTCATACTTCTTTTTAAAAGTTCTATAGGCCCTATACGCTTTGATTCGGCCAATAAGAAATAAACCACCTCGTAGATAAAGTGCTGATGAAAAAATAATTTAATAATACATTTATTTGGAGATCTAGTTATAGAAAGAACGCCGTATTATTGCAATTTAGTAATTTAGATATAGTACGCCACGGCGCCCATGTAAAAAAAAAATCAGCAAGAACCAAGCTTCGCCTGTCGCGTATGAGAGAGAGAGAAAACGTGCCTAGCCCATTGCTTTAGCATGAACTCCTTCACACAACTTGCCACAAAAAACATGGCGGACACCGTTTTCAAATGTGGCCATCGCGCAGCAAGGCGAGAGAGGGGCGTACTGTATCTAGTACTATAGTGTACATCTATGCCGGGGACCCACTGCATTACTAGGTTGATGCCACAGAATGTTATCAGATGATGGGATCCAAACAGTATATGGGTCAAATCTTGGTTTAGATGATGGTCATTTTCTATGGCTTGTAATACTGATAGTGAGTCAGTGAAAATCACAATGCTCTGCGCTTTTCCAGGATGAGTGTCAAAAACTGTACGGAGATGGTACAGTGCTGTTTCAATTGCCATCATTTCTGCATCGTAGTTGCTGCATTTCTATCCACAGGCTGCAGAGATCTCATTGGAACTTCCATCTGGGTACTGTATTAGTATTCTAGTATAGTATAGTATAAGGTTTTACGGCGCTCGCAACTGCTAAGGTCATATGAGCGCGCGAAACACAAGTTGTTCACCTTTGCAAAAGTTCACTTCACGACTGGTTAACTAACTGACTTTAAAATGCTAAAAAGTTAAAATATTTAAATTCAGTGTAAATACATTTGTGATTTAAAACAACTCTTTTAAGTAACAATAAAGATTTTAAATAATATCAAATTCACTCTACAACTCGCCATAAAGGCCAATGGCCTTTATTAAATTTAAAATTCTGCTGGGAACAACGACGGAAAAAATATCTTGTAATTTCTTGCATTTATAGAATTTCCTTCGGATCTCTCCAAAGTCTAGACCAGTGGTTTTCAAATTTTTTTCGCCCACCGCTCCCCTTTTTCACCCAGCCGAGTCCGAGCGCCCCCTACTCCGTCCCAACCATCAATATGACATAACGACATGCATAATATAATAACAATCACAAATAAAGAGAGAGCTAAAAAAGTAGGGTACAAAATAAAGTGCCTAAATTCTAATGATTTGGTTCTGAATATTAGTTGGGTTACAAATCACCATCATTGCAGTCTTAAATTAAGCGTGTACGAGAGGTAATAAAACACATTTTTTCTTCACTGTCATGCAAGGGCATTGAGAACAAAATACGGTCATTTTATTCATATGTGTCATCGGTATTAAACGACCAGTGTTGTTAACATCAATAAAAGTAAAACATGTATTATGACTTTTACAGAAGCAAAACACTAAAAAAAAAATTTTTTAAAAAGAACCCCAAAACAGTGATCATTAGTTTGAAAACAGACTGACATTATTTTTATGAAACGTTTTCTCTCATCAAGGAGATGCAATAAAGTTGCCTGAGATTTGTATATCAAATATCTCCATTGTAGAACATAAAAATATTATTAAACTGTTCAAATGTGAAAAACCACACGAAAGAAAAAGTGTACATTGATCTTTGTAATTATCACCATCATCGTAATCATCGTCATCATCATCATCATCAGTTTCATCAGCAGTTGCAGCACTAGCACATAACAAAGTCTATTAAACAAGTGAGTATTTTGCTTTAGAAAAAGAAGAAAGAAAAGCAAAATAAGAAAAAACGTATTCAGGTATCAAGTAAGGATAAACTACGGAGTGTAGGCATAATACAAATAAGTCATTGACACTGCCCTAATGGGAAGGACGACCTTTTGAGACGAAACCAACTTATCAACATCAGGTTTAAGGTTGGCACTAGCAGACGCAAATCGCCACGCTGTGTGATCCTGAGTTTGTTCCTCTGCTTCATCAGCAACCTTGTCACTGTACTGAATCCCCTTTCTACTAGACAGGAGGTGGGAAAAGCGATGAACAACAACTTATTTTCCTACAGGGAGGGATATTTGTCTTGCACAATAGTTTTCAACCTGAATGACTGGTACGACTTTTTGAACAATGGTTCGATTTCAAAGTCTCTTTTCACTGTCAGCTCTTCTTCAATTGCCACTGTCAGGTCACCATCTGTTCCAGTATTGAATGGGTCCAGTACCCAGTCTGGAATTTCCAGTTTAAAGATATCAGTAAACCTTGCCTCCGCGATCATATCAGCATGCAAATCTCTGAGGTGGTTGGTGTATATTTTTAGTTCTTCGTCAGAAACCCGCCCTTCTCTCGGTGTCTCTGTCAAGCTAGGAAACTGACCAAATTCTCTTCTATCAATGTTTCGGTGAAACATTTCCAATTTCGACAAGAATGACGAAAGCATG